ATCCTGGCAGCCAGTCTCACCCAATTCTGGGACAGAAACAATTCACCTGCCAGTGGGAGCCATCCTGTCACCAGGTGGCCCTTCTGGAATTGGGGCTGACAAGAATCCCAAGGCTTTGGGGGGCATTTGGTCAACACCAGGAGCGAGGTGGAAATGGGGACATGGTATCTAGAGGGTCATTGAGCACCCAGAAGGGAAGAAACCAGGACCAGGTCTCATACTGACCTGTCCAGGCTAGAGACACCTCTCCCAGATGGTACAGCTGGCCCTGGTGGGTCCTAGCCATTAGAGAGGGACTTAGAAAATGTTGAGGCAGGCTACTTTGTTAAGGCAGAAAATGTTGCGTGGGTTCTGGTGACCAGAACCTTTAGATCAGAGCCCACGCAGGACCAAGACCAGAGTAGGGGCACTCTGCCTGGAGAACCACAGGAAGGGGCTCAGAGCCCTGGGCAGGGACGGCCTTGGGTCTAAAGGTCAGGTGCTATCAAGGGCACATTTTTGGGAATGGTCTAGGCTGGAGATGTAAATCTGGGAGTCATCAAGCTTCTGAGAATGGCTTTACAGAGGGAAAAAATTCTGAGATTTCTAGCTTCCAAAACTCCACCACCTTATTATCAAATGGGAGAAGACAGTTCTCTCCCTTCCTCGCTGAAGAACTCTAAATAAGAATTACTCATGTGATGTTTCTAGAACTTCCATAGCTTGTGCAAACCTACAAAGAACTCTGAGTCCTGAAAATAGAAACAGTTCATAATATGAAAAACCACAGACCCAAATGTCCTTAGAAAGCAGCCGCTGCGGGGAGAATGACATTTTCATTCCTGATGCCAGGCCGAGTAGAGGCTAATAACATTTCCCTTGCCCTCTGCACAGTGCTATTTGTTTTAGTGTGCCATCTATTTAACCAAGGGAACAATTAATTAATAATTAAGTCTGCTGGAAACATATCACCACGTGGCACTCAGTAAATATTTGTTGACAATGATGAGGCTATTGCTTATTATACCATTAAATTAGAAACTTAAACTGGAGGTTTCTGCAAGGTGTTAGAAGTCGCAGTGTGAGAGAGGGACAAAGCTAGAATTTACACCCCGAATTCCTGATTCTAAAGGTGTTCATTGCAAAAAATAATAAATTTATTCATTACCTTTTCTACTACATTGCACTAGTGTTTTGGGGAAATGGCTGAATTCCACTAAGCCAAATCATATGGTGAGACATTAACCTTTCCAAAGAACAGTAAGATCTCATTAAGTCAAAATAATTGGAAGAGTGGCCAGACTGAACTCGGAGGGTGGGGGGTGGGTAGTTTGAAATATTTTCTAAGATATTCAACTTTTTCCTTTCAAGGCTATGTAGTAAATTGGAACAAATAACCACAAAATGAGGCCCAGCAGAGGTCTCGCTGAACCTGCTTCACGGAACAAACAGGAGTAATTTATAAATGGTACATTAATGATTTGCATATAAGTGATGACCGCAAAAATATTTTAGGTATTTGGGGAAATACACCTTTTATTCATGCCAAAACATTTTATTAAGCTAAATGTTCCCCTTGAAAACTGACTTTATGTAGGAATTTACATAGGGAACTTTCACAAATATGTCAGTCAAACCATGTGTTAAAATTATTGTGCATTTGGTTTAGTGGCATATAAATGAACCTGCTTTGCTGTACTCAAATTGTTTGGCATTATTTCTATGCTCACAGCAGCACAAATGCTCACATCCATCTCTCTCACTTTCCATCCCTTCAGTTTTCATCTATCCCAGGCTAACAGAGTGCCTCCAGCTGCTTGAGAACTAGAAGCATTTTCTAGCTCTTCCTTTTCCCTCACCACACTCCCACCAATTTTCGCTAAATGACCCTGTCCTTCCTACCACCATCTGTGAGCAGTCTTTGCAGCATTTGGCTGCCTTTCATTCGTTTTCTGTTCAAATACTAAACACTCATTTGTTCCTGGAGATGCTTAGAAATATTGGGTCTTGTTATCTCTTACCCGTGTTCTTTAACACACTCACTTTCAGACATTCTACTCCTGGAGCAGTTTATCAGGCTCCTCTGTTTTTCTCTCTTTGAATTAACTTCTCCACCCTTTATTGTGTAAGAATCAGAGTTGTCTACCCGTTAGGTAACACATGGAAGGTTCCAGACTGGCCAAAGTTATGTTATTGACTAACAGAGAAGCAATTTGGGAAAATAGTCTGTTTAGTGCTCACAGCTAACCAATGTGGTCAAAGATGGGAAGAAAGAAGCAAGCTGGGGAAAATGGGAATCTGGTTGGAGACATACAAGGTTTTTCTTGAGGGGTCAATTGCCATGGATATGACTCAAAGGTCCACATGTCGTAGGAATAAGACTGACCAGAACAAAAAGAGAGGACTACAGATATTTTTGCCATTTTATGTTACAGTTCATTCTGATGAAATAGCTTAGGTTCAAAGCAAAATAAATCTCCACAGGAATTCCCTGCTGGTGACTTGCTGCCCCCCTCTGGAGAAATTGGGAACTGAAACTTTTAATCCCTTCCTGTGTGGATCTGTCTCACTGTAGGTCTGCATTGGCATTATTCTCTTACCAGAAGGCGCTTTGCTACAATGTAATGAAGTGTCAGGCCATAAATTGCCAACAGTTTATTCAGTGAGCTTGCACTGACTCTGAGTAATGCAAGGATCTTTATTTCCTGGCCAGAGGATGAACTCAGTGTTTTGATCCATCTGTCCTGGTTCCACTCCTCTTCTACCTAGAATCCAAGCTAAAGCAGCCTTGGACTAGGAGTTCTTCCTGACTTGGTACCCTGCCTCACTTAGTAATCTTATCCCTAAAAGAGAGAGTTTAGACTCATGATCTCTAAGGTACCTTTGGCTCTGATTCCATAAAAATATATTTACCAGTGAGAAATGTTTATTTAACATAAGTAAACTATGAGTTATTAGATGAGCCTTCCCTTTTAATGAACAATATTTTTGGAAATAAAATGAATGCACTTGGTGGATAGGCTGAATTTCAAAAAATTTTCAAAATATGAAATAGGCCACTAGGAGGCAGTGTTGACATATAGTTTATTCAAGCCCTTCTTCACTAGAATTAATTCCTTTTGAGGGAATGTTTTTCAAATCAAAGGATATAAGAATGATTAGAGCCCTAACTGGTTTGGCTCAGTGGATGGAGCGTCAGCCTTCGGACTGAAGGGTCACGGGTTCGATTCCGGTCAAGGGCATGTACCTTGGTTGCGGGCACATCCCCATTGTGCGGTGTGCAGGAGGCAGCTGATTGATGTTTCTCTCTCATCGATGTTTCTAACTGTCTATCCCTCTCCCTTCCTCTCTGTAAAAAAAAAAAAATCAATAAAATATATTTTTAAAAAAGAGTGATTAGAGGTTACAATGTTTTGTGTGTCAATAAAGTTTTGAAAAGCATATTAAAGGGGCAAACATCTTACACAGTACTAGTACAATAAATCAAAGTTTCTATCATCTATGAATTAAAGCATTACATATTGAACCTGATTTGAGAGTAAGAAATGGTAGATAGCAACTTTGTAAAAAAAAAAAAAAAGTGACATTTTGCCCTAGTTGGTTTAGCTCAGTGGGCAGAGCATCAGCCCGTGGACTGAAGAGTCCTGGGTTTGATTCTGGTCAAGGGCATGTACCTCGATTGCAGGCTCAGTCCCTGGCTCCAGTCAGGGCTGTGCAGGAGGCAACCAACTGATGTGTCTCTCTCACATCTATGTTTCTCTCTTTGTGTCTCTTCCCTACCCTTCCATTGTCTCTAAAAACCAATGGAAAGCCTGGCTGGTGTGGCTCAGCGGTTGAACATCGACCTGTGAACCAGGAGGTCATGATTTGATTCCCGGTCAAGGCACATAACTGGGTTGTGGGCTCAATCCCAAGTAGAGGGAGTATAGGAGGCAGCCGATCGATGATTCTCACTCATCATTGGTGTTTCTACCTCTCTCCCTCTCCTTCTCTGAAATCAATCAAAATATATATTTTAAAAATCAATGAAAAAAATATCCTCTGGTGAGTATTAACAAAAAAAAGTGGCATTTTATTCTCTAATTTTACCTCAGTCATATGCAGCCTCTGAGAGTTATACTGCTTTGGTTCCATTTCTGTGCATTTGGGGGCGAGGGATGAATTGCTAATTATCTTTGTAAGAACATTCTAGAAACTTCTTTTCCTTTTTAATACTGCTGCCTTCTCTTTTAAAACTCCAGCACACTTGTGAAGAAGGGAAGTATTCTTACTTTTTAAATTGATGGATAAATTGAGGTATAGAGATTTCACATAGGACTTAGCAAATTATAAAATGAAAATAAGAACCTAATGTCACCAAGATAGTCTCATTGCTCTTATAGTTTTAATAGTTGAATAAATTACAATTTTTAAACAGCTATCCAATCCAAGGATGTTTATAAAGCAGCATGGACTCTTCCCTAATACATGAAGGGTAGCCCTGGTTATTCTAATGGGCTTGCATCTTCCGGCTTGGGATCTCATAAGAGCATAGATATCATCAGGTAAAAACATATTTATCCATCTAGGAAACCTGGATAGAGTTTGGAGAATTTCTTTTTTGTTTTTCTCTAAATTATCCTTTTTTTAAGCTCCCAAAGTAACACATGCGTGTTGCTCTTCAGGCTTGACTATTGGAGGCATCTAGGTGGATTCAGTTTGGGGTAGAATGGAGAGGGCCTAGACACCAATCCCTTCTCACCCCCTCCCTATTGGCTGGTACGTTTCTTAGGGGTAGAAATGGATCAGCAAAAAGAAAACAACTCTGAAACTCTGAGAGCAGGACTCTGGGCTTTGGATACTTATTAACCAGTGATCTAAGAGTAAACTTAAATAGGAAAGTCCCCATAGCTGAAGTGTCCCAAAGCAGTGGTTTTCAAACTATGGGCCAAAACCTGTAAATGGATCATAAAATCAATTTGAAGGATCTTGACCAGCATGTTTTATGAATAAAACAAGGTGGAAAGAAATAGAACACAAAGTACCAGAATAGACCACACATTTTATTTCAGTGGTTGTATGGTATGTGCCTCCCTGGGTCATTATATGAAATTGTATTTCTTGCCAAGGGTCATGTTCGCAGGAGCTTGGAAGTCACTTCCCTATATCACTTTATCTGTCCCAATCTGGTCACGGAGCCCTTTATGACAGTTCATGTCTAATCCTCCTCACTAGCCTGTGAGCGTCTTGAAGTGGGGATTAACGTCAGGATTACCCTTCCTTGGCCACAGCGATTTCCTCAATGCCTTCTACACAGTGGGTTCTTAGTAAACCTGCTTAAGATTCGCTTCGTACTTATGTTGCTTCTAAGGAAACTTCTAAAACATACTTTTAACATTGTCAAGTGCTGTCTGTAACTCTGTTTTGTTCAGCTCATACCAATTTGATGTATAGGCTGGCGTTAATAGGAGCATTGTATTTTAACCATCTTTTCCTTATTTCTAAGAACTGTGGCCCAAATATAGAAGAATTCACAAAATTGGGTTCCACTGAGGCGACTACGCAGATTTGTATTTCTGTTTTTCAAAGAGCTCTCTCAGCTGCTGCTCAGTCGTGGCTTCTTTCTGCTGCATCAGCATGGAGGTTCCTTTGGTTACTCCCCAGGCATCCGGCTTTGACATGGAAGGGTTGTACGGCCTGCCTGAGGCTATCCGAAGGTTCTCCCAGTATTCCTTCCTGGCCCTGGGTGAACAAAACACATTAGACTCCTCCCTGAAGTAGAATACCTCCACGGCACCCTCTTTACACTCTTGAGACTCTATATCCATTAAAACACACGTATTAATTTGCACTCAAACTTTTCTCCCCTCAGAATCTGTCTAAAATTATTTTGAATTTTCTCTTTTAACATATGCACAGGGATCAAAAGCTAAGAATCAGAATAGGGACATTTTCTCTTCAACTTACCCTACCTCCCCAATCATTTCCTCATGACCAGCTGAGCCCACATTTGCTGCTCTTCTCACACCAGCATCACTTCTACGCTCTCACTCCATGGACCTGCCTCCTTCTTTCTCCATTGTCTCCTCTAGCTCAGGCCTCATCCCATATGGTATTCTAGCAAAGGCTTCCTCACAGGTTTCCGTTTTAAGGCTATTAAAACTTGCTAACTTGCAAATCTTGTCCTGGACCACTTGCCACCCTCCAGGCTCCTCACTGCCATTGGGATGAGGTCATACCTAGCTCATGAGCATGAGTAAAAGGCTGCCCCCTCTTCCTGGCTTGTATCTGCTACCAAATTCTGTCTCTGATACTCTCAAACTTATAGTTTTTCAACATGCCATTCTTTTTCCACCTGAGTGCATTTCTGTAGGTTGTTTCCCTAACCCAGTGGTCGGCAAACAGCGGCTTGTGAGCCACATGCGGCTCTTTGGCCCCTTGAGTGTGGCTCTTCCTAAGCCTTAGGAGTACCCTAATTAAGTTAATAACAATGTACCTACCTATATAGTTTAAGTTTAAAAAATTTGGCTCTCAAAAGAAATTTCAATCATTGTACTGTTGATATTTGGCTCTGTTGACTAATGAGTTTGCCAACCACTGCCCTAACCCTTCAAAATTTAGCTTGGGCAGCAACTCTCTTAAAAACCCTTCATTAACCCTTGTCTGCCTTTGCCCCCAAGGGCCATTAGTGCACAGTTGTGCTCAATTAATGTCAGCTGAACAGAGCAGACCTGCTCCCTCTGCTTGGGGTGCTCACCCTCCACCCCCTTTTCTAGCTTGTCCCTTCTGCTACAGTATCTTTCTTTTAAGGCAAACATAGTACTTCTCTTCATTGTTATTTTTTTCCATGCTTCTATTATTAAAGCGGTTACCACAGTATAATACATTGGTTTTCTTATCCATTCCACAGTCTTTCATCCTCCTTTCCCCTTCCTTTCCCTTCCCTTCCCTTCCCTTCCCTTCCCTTCCCCTTCCCTTCCAATGCCAGTCATGTTCCCATGGAAATCACTTACAATGGCAGCCTGTTCAGAAATGCAGCAGCGATTATCTGCAGCCTGGTTGGGTTCCCCTCACCTCCCCTTCCCTTCCCTTTTCTTTCTACCACAGCTGTTCATTTCTCTACTCCTAGTGCTCTGCACACTGCCTGACATAAAGTCTGTTTATTATTCATCTTCTTCACTGGACTGTAAGCTTTGAGGGCAAATACTTTTTCTACCGTATTCATCACTCTATTCCAAGCTCTGAGAATTGTGCTTGGCACAGAGCAGGCACTTAATAAGTATTTGTTATACTTAAGTCTTAAAGAATCCATGTAAGGGTCCACCGCATGGGTGGTGCTTTCCTAGAGCATGAAATCATACTTCACTGCAACTGACATTACTCACATTCTATATTCCTAAAGCCTTCTCTAGGAATTGCTCCATCAGGATGTTTCATAGACATCTCTGTGAGATAATTTAAGGAGAATAACTGACCCTTTATCATCACACATCAAATTAGTTATACTTTTTATGATGACCTCACTTGGACATGTTCATAATTAATCTACATGAGTTTGGTTTGGCAGATATAGTTTAAAGGTTCTTACCTGGCTCTAATCCAGGGTTTGGTGTGCATGTCCAAACCACTTCCCCAGCTGCCATGTTTTTCTGAAGCTGGTGGCAAAAAGCCCCTTTCTGGGGCCAGCTCCTCTGCAATCGCCCTGATGTGATAGGGCTCGAATCCACAGCACCCGCCGATGTACCTGACCCCCAGGTTGTAGGCCTCTCTGGCGTATTTTTGAATGTCCCACCTGGTTGCGACTCTGGGCTCCAGTCCTGCAATAAATGACATTATGACCAAATTCTTTCTTAAAAAATAGTTTAAATGAACAACGATAATAAGTATGTAATCTTCAATAGATGAGTTAAATAAGTGGTCAATATTTAATTCTTAACTTTTCAAAACTACTTTTTGTCTATATATATATATATATATATATCCAGTTTTAAATGCTGTGGTAGTCAGCTTTCAAGATGAACCCTGTCCTCTCATCCTTGCATAGTCTCTGCCTTGTGCTCTTGGAACCCTTACCCTAGGGAAAGCCAGATGCCATGTTGTGAGAACACACAAACATCACCGTGGAAAGACCCAGGAGCTGAGGAGCTCAGGCCTCCAGTAAAGACAGCAAGAAACTGACACAGGCTCCTAAGAGTCAACTAGAGTGCTTGGAAGTAGGTCCCCCAGCTCCCATCAGGCCTTTACATGACTATAGCTCTGGCCAATGTCTGGACTGCAACCTCTTAAAAGACTCTGAGCAAAAACCACCCACCTAAGCTGTTCCTGAATTCATAATGCACAGGAACTACGAGATTGTAGATACAAAGTTTTACAGTGATTTGTTATACAGCAATAAGTAACACAAATGTCTTGCCATTCTTCTTCCATGGTTGTCCTAGAGTGATTATTTTATAATATCTTACTTCTCTGAGGGTCCCTATAGGATACAGAATATGGTATAAAGACCTTACAATGGAACAGGAGGTTGGCCATGCTCAGGCCCTGCTGATATCTCTGGGGTTGATTTTCAAGGTAGACTCACCCCCACTCCCAGAACACACTAAAAGACTTTATCCTTCTGCCTAGACTGCAAGAGTGCCCTCAATTCACTGCTTGGTCTCTTCATTCCAATTTGTCATAGAGTAGCCCAGTGATATCTTTCCTCCATTCCCAAACCCTGGAGTAGGAGTATCTGAGCAACATTCAAAATAGGAGGAAAGGATCTTGGAGGTTACCTGGTTCTAACCGACTTATTTTTCTGATGAGAAAATTAAGATCTAGAGCAGTGGTTCTCAACCTTCCAGTTCCTCATGTTGTGGTGACCCCCCATTTCATTGTTACAAATTGAACATAATTAAAGCATAGTGATTAATCACAAAACAACATGTAATTATATGTGTGTTTTCCGATGGTCTTAGGCGACCCCTGTGAAAGGGTCGTTCGACCCCCAAAGGGGTCGCGACCCACAGGTTGAGAACCGCTGATCTAGAAGAACTAAGGAATTTTGCTAAGGTTACACAACTTAGCAACAGAGCTGGAACCAGAATGAAAATCTTTGCTGATCCCACCTGTCATCTTTGTTTGCTGATACCTTCTTTTCCTTTTGTGACTATCTAATATCAAGGGATTTGTGGCTGCAGGAAGAAAGGCTGGGAGCTAGAGTTGAGGAGATAGGCATACATTTCTTTACTATAATACAGCTCTATGAGCTATAGATTTATTTGGAATGTGTTAAACATAAAGACATCAGAGACAGTGTATAGAATGTCTGTCTTACCAAAGGGGAATTCTGGCAGATCGATAAATCCCTGTTTGCCACAGTCAGGAGTGTGGTAGGCCAAGGGTTGACTCATCAGGTGGGCTTTCAACCCGGCAGCCTGCAGGCCTTCTTTCATGAGCTTCACTGTTTGCAAACTAATTGTGGGGTCAAAATGGCAGTTCACACCAACGATGGAAGCTCCTGCAAGTGGGAAGAACATTTTAGCTTGAGGGATTCACCAGAATACCAGGAGGTCCAACTCTCCTCTCTTAATCAGGTGAATTTGGAAGTATAGCATTTGATCCCTGCTCTCTGCAAATCTATGTTGCCTTTGTGCAAGAATGATTGCTAGCAGGCAGCAAGCACTTTCTGTGAAAAGTGCTTTGAAGAGTCTGGTATAATTGAAGTGTCATTTATGCACACTTGGCTGTCCATCTTTTTTTTTTTAAATCATTATTAGAGTTTTTCTTAACTTCAAATTTTAGTAGTCAATTTTTCAATTTTTGACATTAATATTGCAAGCACAGTAATATTTTAGCACTCCCAGCTGCTAGATTGCACCCGTGGTTACCATACCACTATCTGAGGAATAAATCAGTGTTCCCTTTCATCAGGCCAATGTAGTGACATCACTAATCCAGAATCCAGGAGCAGCAGAGCTGATGCCACAAGCTGTGGTATCCAGTTTTCAGTGGCAGGTACCTCAGTGGTCCTCACTGGCCTGGGTCTGCAGTTGGCTCTTTATTCTTATTCTATCGGCCGCCCTCATGGCCATTCCTTTGAATCAGCTTTTGAAGGGGCACCTGTGACCTCAATCTTACCAAATCCAGTAATCCTTCTCTGTTCTCATTTACTCTATTTCTCAGCAGCATTCAGTCTATTGGATCCCCGCATCTTTCATCAGCACTCCCCTTCTCTTAACATAACGTTCAATAATAGTTCTCCCCTTCTGGGAACTTCCCACACGCCCTAAGTGTTGCTCCTACTGCCCTGGCTGCTTTTTGGGGGTGTTACGTGCCCACTCCTCCCTAAGGCTGGACTGTTCAACCCTGAGTGACCCAGGATCCCATCTTCTGCTCTTCACCTACACCTTCTTTTCAGCACCAGGGCCTTCAATACCATCTATATCTAGAACTCCCCTAAATTTCTCTCTCTAACCTGACCTTTCCATCGGGTTCTAGATTTGTATATTCAAAAGCTTACTTACTATCTTCACTTGGATCTTGACTACCTTTCTTTCTCTCCTTTTTTTTTCTTTTGGATGATGTGCTGCCAGAATTTTTATTTCCTTGCCTGACTTCATTATGCTAATTAATTAATCATATGTTGGCTATTTATTGGATGTCTATTAGGTAAAAGGGTCCTTGTAAGGGGTTCTAGAGAAATATAAACATAGGACATAGTCCCTGACACCAAGAATTTTATAATTTAGCACAGGGCTTTCAGGTTTCCTTCATGAAAATAAGTTCTGTGATCCATTAAGTTAGATAGTAGCTGTTTACTATATCCCCTTCTTGGACATTGCCAATATGCCTGAACATATATAAGGCTCTGAGAAGTTCTGTATCAAAGAGACCTGCTTAACTTGGTTTAACACAGCATTTTCTTAATGTATATTTGACTACATGACCCTATAACACTCCATAGATTAGAAAATGTCGACTGAGGATATTCCAAATGAGGGGTATAAATAGAAAGTGTTATAGTTCCCAAGAAAATGGAGTGATACTTGGGGTAGGGATGATCATTTTAGGGCACATGGAGGTAGAATTTGAACTAGCATTGGAAGATAGACTTATTAGATGGATATTAGATAGATTTATTAGGCAGATATATATTCAGGACCTATTGTGTAATAGGTACTGTGCTAGGCACAGAGACAATGCTGAGACAAGAGAGTGTCTGCCCTCTTAGATTTTGCAGTCTAGTGAGAGAGTCAGACATTAAAGTGATAAACAAATGAGATAAGCGGGAAGTGCTACAAAGGATATAAATAGGGTACAGTGATTTTAAACACCATGGCCACCTACTCTGAACAGAATGATGAGACTCAAGCCAGGAATCCTTGCTAGTTAACAATGGTGATGATTAAGGCCTCCTCTGATCTTTCTGAAATAAGTTAATCCCCCCCCCATTTTTATACCGATCAAAAATTAGTATTATAAAACTTTATTCCTAAATAATTGTTATTGTCAATGACAAGTATGAAGTGACTTCCATGAAATATCAGGAGCTGGATAAAAATCAGAAATTAAAGAAATAGCTAAAGTCTCTTTACAGAGTGAGTTGGCTCTTCCACTGACACTGAGCTATTCCTTGGGTTTAAAATGAGGCAGATTTTAAAACAATCGGTATTTTCCCGAATTGAAATGAAATCTGATATTAGGAATGAAAATTATGTAAGATAAATGAGGTGGTCAATATTTCATATCAAAGGATTTTTAAAATTTATTATGTCAGTTACAAAAAAAGCAAAGCATAATTTACAAGAGTGGAAAAACTGGCAAAGAGGGCAGCTGCTCTAACAGTTATTAATGTTTAAAGACCTCAACTGGAGATAAGTTTAAAATAAAACACAAATTTTCTGAATGCTCCTTTTGAGTTGCCTAAATTCTTTCACGTTCCTAGTTGTTAAACCTTCAGCATAGGCCTACTTGCTCCTTCCAAAAGACTGGTGTGTGTGTGTGTGTGGGGGGAGGGGGGTGTATGTGTGTGTGTATGTATCTTTTTTTACTTTACATATTTTTCTTTAAGACTCAATAATATATCAGTAGTCCTAAAAAAAGTAAGTTAATGGTGTTTCCTGTTAATAAATTAGTATATAGTGATCCATAGATGGCCCTGCATTTGTATGTTATTTTAAAAGTCTCAGTAATTGCAAACTGGTCACAATCCACCCTCACCTGCTTTGACCAGGCGCACTGCACACTCGCCGGGGGTCACGCCGTGCAGGTCTCCCTCGGGGCCGATGCACATGGTCGCTGCCACTGGCTTTCCAGAGGCTTTCAAGGCTTCAACCGCCCACACGGCCTCTTCAACATGTTCAAAATACTGAAACACAACAAGTACTTGTAATCTTATTTTCCCGGAACAATTTGAAAATGCATTCTATTGCTCAATAATTAAATTAGATGAGTGATTTTCAGACTCTGAGTTTGAAATGTTTTGAATACTGAGAATTTGAAATTGAGAACTATTAGCATTTTTTTAAAAAAATAGAATGGTGATTTCTCACTGTGAATTGCAGGGAAAAGGTTTGAAAAACACTACATTAGATGAACTGAATCAAATTTAGTAAAAGCCCTAAATTGGAAAAAAGATTTCAAAACTAAATATTACTATGACTAGTCATGATTAGCACCTAATCTCACATGGTCCTCATGAAAGCAGAAGGCAGAGAAAATGGACTAAGTGCACTTGTCTCATCTTTGATCATGTCTTTACCTCTGCAATCAAGAAGTCCACATTCTTCTTCATGAAGACCTCTAACTGCTGCTGAAATACTTTTTTAACTTCAGTTTCGCTCTTGCAGCTGAGGTACGAAGGCGTCTGACTCACGCCTCCTGCCACCAAAGCGTCTCCCTCATCAGCCACTTGCCGGGCGATGTCACAAGCTGCTTCGTTGACTTTCTGCCCCTAAAATGGTATGTGATACAGCTACATTTTTATGTGAAACTGAAACAAAATTATTATTCTGAGGTCCCCATCTCAGTTGTATGTTATAACAGTGATTTGATTCCGGAGAATGACAGTGATGGAATGGTTCAATGCATGACCACGCTGAGCAATTTGCAATGACAATAACATCAAAAATAGTGTTGAAAACAAAATAAATCTAATGGTGGTATCTAGGACATCACATTATACCAAAAATCTATGAGAGGGTAAAAGTCTTTACATAAAAAGATCTGGTATCTTCCAGTGCCAAAGTTGCACTTAGAAGAATAGTGGTGATAATGATGATCATTTGTCTTTAAGACAAATAAAAATAAAATTCAATTAAAGTGACTACAGAATTCATGTCTTTTTTTATGTTTTCAATTAACAGATAAATGTAACACAAGTAAGGTCTTTTCTAATTACTTAGACATTAAAAGTGAGCACATCCTCAAGAAACCCCAGTGCTGAGGGCACAGAGACCCATGGAATTTTGAAACTGTCTTTTCATTGTAGAGATGAAGAAATTGCCCCCTTGATAGGGTAGGTAGATGCCTTACCCAGCATCACACAGTTCACTGTAGCTGAGTCAGGAAGATTCCAGGTTCACTGACCTCTTGTACCTACGACTTTTCCCCTACTATACCACATTAAAAAAAACTGACAATGAAAGAATTTATAAGGATACCCACTTAGGAGCCTGAAAGAATCATTAATCATTAAATATCTTTCTGCCACTTTGGGAGACTCCAGATCAAACCCAAGTATTATTCACATATATCTCATTATTGCATTATTTAAAATAAGACAAAACTCTGCAGAGGCTCAACGTTTTTCTCTGTCAGAACTTTGCTGATGACGTGTGTCTTCTGCACTCTTTTGAGAATGCCGTGTATGGTTTACTCACGGATATTTTCTCTGCCACATAGTTCCCCCTGTTCTCCAGCTTGTCTTCACTCGCATAAAAGGTGAAGGTCTGCATGACATTGGATCCAGCTCTGAGGAATTCTCGGTGAAGCTGGCGAACTGGGAGATTCAATAAGAAAGGCACTAATTGCTATCAGTTTATTAACCCAAGTTCTAGGATAAATATGAAAACATCCCCTTAAATTCCTGGTTGCTTGGCATTCATGCCTCCCGTGGGATAATTGAGAGGTGGATCTGGGGTCTCTTGCCAGGAAGAAGAGATTTCTATCATGAAGCAGGGTGAAGAAAAGAGGGAGGTCCCAGAGAGGGGGAATCATTTCAGCATTTTTGCCAGGTGAGGAGGTAGGGAAGGGCATTCTCTACAGAGGGTACAGCCTGAGCAAAGACACGGATACGGAAAGAAGCGTGGCCTTTGGGGGGACAGCAGGTAATCTGAGCCGCTGGAGTTGAGGATGTGTTGGAGACATGGCGGTAGGTGCAGTTGGAAAGGTGGACTGGCAGACAGTATGAATGGCATAGCACATCATCCCAAGGAGTCTAGGCTCCAGACCACAGTGTTGCCCACAGTTTGTAAGCAATGGAGTGATGTGATTAGCTTTCTGGAAAATGAGTGGGATAAGAATTGGAGCAAGGTTCAAACATGTCCATAATGAATGCCAAAAAGCAAAGCTTCCCCAGGTTAGAGGAAACATGATAGAAATTGTTTCCATGTAACAAAGTGTATTCAAGTTAAGGAATTATATATCCTTTGCTCTAAAATAGTGATCCTAACCCCTGGTTGCCCACTAGATACCCTGTAAGCTTTTAAAAAGTTATGAATGTAAGGGTAATCCCACAGATATTCTGATTTAATTGGTTTGGGACCAGGCACAGACTTTTTTTTTAAAGGTTTCCCAACTAATTCTTATTTTTAGCCTTGTTAGAACCACCATTCCTAGAGAGTGGGGAAAATGCTCATTTTATAAAATGGTAGACTTAGCTGGTATTTGCATTGTCTGGGGACTTAACTGGGCAAAGGAAGAAATCAGCAATCCAGTACCAGCCCCTGACATTTATTTTGAAATTCCAGAGGCCTATAAAATCCAAAGGTCTGGAAGCAACTATCCTGGAAGCCAGGAAGTTAGTAGGACACTGGAGTTCTTAGCCCTAAGGGGCTAAGAATGGAGATGAGTCTGGCATCTTTGCATCCCAGGTGCCTACTAGACCAGAGAACATAGGAAGCTCAGTTTTTGTTTTTGTTTTTTAAAAATGAACAAATAAGTGAGGCAAAAAAAGCTTTTGAATTTCAGAAAACGGGTTTCTAAGCTTGAAGCCAAATCTTTGTTTTTAAATCATGGAAACTTTAGTTCTCAGTGGGAATTTAAAAGGATGCCTAAATTAAGGGGTTTGTACTTATTTTAATTAGCAACAGAACCAAGTCCCCATGTATGAATCAGATGAGCTGTTGCAGCTGGAGCAGGGGTGCAGGGCCTGTAGACCAGGTGCCTATACACCAGAGCCACACGGCTTATAAACAGGAAGCCCACCCAGGTTGTCCTTGGGTGTATTCCAGAGGCTCTGCAAAAAAATCCTGGAATGGTATGCAAATTGTTTGTGTAGCTGTACATTCACAGTGCAGAGGGTCCACACACTTTTATCAGATTTTTCCAGAGGGCAGTGACCCAACTCCTTATTCTTAGTTGATTTGATTGTCTCACCATGCTTCTTAAAATTGAAGTGCTTTTCAAACGTACCCACACAGAGACTCATTGGGGGTCAATTTTTATGAATCCAGATGCCCCAAGCCCCTCCAGATCCAGCAAACCCCAATTCCTTGCTGAATTCAATGCTGATTCCACTGGGTACAAGAACTACAACTTCTGACATGAACTTCAATAGGAGAATTAGTCTGGTAATTTTTGGGTATCCTTTCAATTTCTATTTTCTGTTTTCTTTCATCATAAGACTCCTGAGTTTTCCTTCTCTAACAAATAATAGGGTGTGACTAGTCTCTAGGACAAGGACACAACCTGTACTAATTAATTATATTCATGCTATGTTTTTAAACTCTTTGTTAATTAGTTTTATCTTAGCATCATAGAAGCTAAATGTTACCCAGTCTCTTGACTAAGTTGCTGAGTGGGTATCCTTACAAATTCTTACATCCTCACCATTTTTTAGTGTGGCACTGTGTAGGGGGAAAGAGCATAGGCACAAGAGGTCAGTGAACCTGGAATCTTCCTGACAGAGCTACAGTGAACTGTGTGATGTTGGGCAAGCTGTTTACCTACCCCATCAAGGCAGCAATTTCTTTATCTCTACAAGGCAAAGGGAGTTTCAAAATTCCGTGAGTCTGTGTGCCCTACAGGACTGGGATTTCTTGAGGACAAATGTCCATTTTTAATGTCTAAATAACTAGAAAAGACCTTTCTTGTGATACATTTATCTGTTAATTGAGAAAATACAGAAAGACATGAATTCTGTAGTCGCTTTAATTAAATTGTATTCTTTTTAACCATAAAGGCAAATCATCATCATTATCATCACTATTTGCTAGGTAGTCTTCTATGCGCCTCACAGGACATCAGATGAATTTAGCGTTTTGGGGAAATTAAAGGTGTTTAAAGAATTCATGCTCTGAAAGAGAGCGGTGGTCAGTTTTCATGCTATTTTATGTAAATGAATGTGTGTGCCTGCAGGTGCTTTTCTAAATTAAGCTGGGTAAAAGCTAGAATTGAGGTAGACCCTGAAAAACTTCCCAGAAAATTGGACTACACCGGAAATATTTTTGTAGGACTGGTACCTGGGCTTCACTTTTTAGTGCTGGAAATGGCAAGGAAGGGAAAGTTATGCTATAGGTCTATAATCCCTTATCCAAGGCATTCTGGGACTAAATACACCTTGGAATTCAGAATTTTGGGGAATTTTAGAAAGCGATTACAGTATATATGCTATATATTATCTAACACTCTCATTAGCTCCCCCCCCCAAACACATTAATACTTATTTTACACCAAAATATATGAGTAACCACACTAAAGGGAATACTGTTATAAATATCATCATATTAGTTTAGGTCACATTTTGCCCCCAAATGATTTTGCTGCAAATTTATTATCCCACTGAAGAAATACTGCAAAATTTTATTTGACCTTTTAGAGTTTGCTGTGGAATCCCAAAGACTTGCATGCCTCAAGTAAATTTACAAGGGTAATATCTAACTATGCTCTATGCATATATAACTGGGAGATATTACCTATGTACATATAAACTCCCTCAGGTTCCATCCCACCTCCCTCCTAGCCATAAAAGAATTGTGGTCAAAAAAGTAAGTGAGAATAGGTGTATGGGTACAGGTGCAGGATAGATAGATAGTCAAATTTAAATAGGGTGGGCTAGTATTAAATGCAGTTAACTAGCTGGCCTCTATACAGTGGAGGAGGGCCTATCTGCAAGGCCATGATTGATATTGTACCATGTACCATTTAACTTAAAGTGGTTAAGGAGGGAAGGTGGACATATGCAGTAGAATGGGTAATAAGCACTAAAGTGGGAGGGAAGAAGGACTGAGGGTTTTGATGAGATTGGGGAGTGGCAGTGTTAGAGGGAGCAGAAAAGATAGGAGGTGGTGGTCAAAGAGTGAGTGCTGGTGATTGAGATTTCAGAGATGGACAGACAGCTATTGATGATGGCAAGGTCGAGGAGTGGGCTGCTGAGGTGGTGGGTGGAGGAAGAGTTCAGTTGGAGATGAGGAGGAGACCAAGGCACTAGCGGAAAGAGTGCTGCACTGAAGCCACCTAGAGAGGTGAGGGAGAGAGGGGCAGAGGAAGGCTGAGAGCCAGGTACTAGACTTATCTACAGTGAGGGTCAGGACCAAGTGGTAAACACAAGTGACAGTGACAAAGAGGACTGTTTTGCTTATCCAACATGTGGATCCATACTTACATATGTAGCATAGAGCCCAGCAGGCATTAATAAATATTTGGAAAATGTGGCATGAATGTGTCTGTTTGGTGGTATGCACCTAGACTTGAGTCAATATAGTGCTCTTTTTATGAAAAGTTCGAATAGAGCAAGGGTGGGAACCTTTTTTTCTGACAACGGCCATTTGGATATTTATAGCATACAAAATTATCAACTTAAAAATTAGCCTGCTATATTTGGTCAAACACTTAATTAACTCACCCCTAATGCCTTGGAAGGGCCAGACCAAATGATTTTGCAGGCCTTATATGGCCCGCGGGCTGGACGTTCCCACCCCTGAAATAGAGCAAGGCACCAACCTGCTTCTGGGTGCTCAACAGCAGCTTCCGGGGTCCAGGGGCCTGCCTTCACATAGCCCCTCTTCTCCAGTGAAAAGACAAACCCTCCATCTCCAATCACAACCTCTCCAGAGTTTAAACGTTCGAGGATGCCCTGAAATTACAGATGAGGGGGGAGAAAGGAGCTACTTGAGTTTTTTAGACAATTTTCTATCTTTAACGTATAGACAATTTATCTTTAACTTTTGCTATCATATTCTTGAGAAATGTTATTTCTATAGAATTCTAAGAAAGTACAATGTATAGTTTATAAATTCATGGTACTATCTATAAGGCAAACAGCCAATATGCTCATATAATGAAAATTTGTGTATGTATGTGTCGGGGAGGGTGTGGTCTTTCAGGACACATTAAAGAGTTTTGAAGAATGTGGGAAGATGTTATGTTTGAAGAAATACCTGAAGAAGGATTAAATGAACAGGTCTTGTTCTAAATCCTCAAATGAAAACTTAAGCACACATTCTTAAAATGGTGAAGGCTAGTCTTTCTTCTTCTATAGATAAACTAAGGAGATGATTAAAATTGACAAAGTTGAAGTGGCATATAATACTACTAAGGCATTTTGAAGACTGAAAAGTCAGAAGACGCTTGATAAAGACAGAAGGAAAGGATACAACCTCAAAGGTGGTCAAATCCCTTAAAGCCTTCTATCTTTGGTGTTAATACTCAGTTTTTGCAACAGCAGCTATGTTATGCTGGCCAAGAGGTTATGAGTATGCATGTTGAACTCTACAAGTGTGACATGACAAGGACAGGAGAAATACAAGTAAATAAAGTATTTGTAAACTGATTTCCAGCCCAATCTCCATACTATTCCAATCATTTACAGTACTGTGCAATAATTACCCAGACATTATTGTTTAATAGATATATTTTGAACTGAATATTTTTCTTTATTTTTTAAAATATATTTTTATTGATTTCAGAAAAGGGAGAAGGAGAAAGTGATAGAAACATCAATGATGAGAGAGAATCATCTATCGGCTGCCTCCTGAACATCTTCTATTGAGGATTGAGCCCACAACCTGGGTATGTGCTCTGACTGAAATTGAACTGTGCCCTCTTGGTTCATAGGTCAACACAACCACTGAGCTACACCAGCTGGGCTGACCTGAATATTTTTAAAGGGCTTTGTAAATTAGAAAGTAATTTTCTAGTGTAACCATTTCTTTTTAATTTAAAGGAATCATAGACTTTAACAATAAAAAATACCTGCATTCAATTTGGTCATTTTCCCAGATTTTATAAATGAAGCATTAAGGCCCAGAATCTAAAAATTTACACAAAATCTGCCAGGTGGGGAGTATAGGACCTCCTGATTCTTATTCATAGGTGGTATCTAGATTCGATTTTAAATGGGAGTGACAGCCTGAAAAGACTATGAAAGGAATAACTTGGAATGTATCTACCTATTGTGTTCCATTTATTACCAATAACAGTGGGTAAAACAAATGCTGATGTAATAACAAGGGTTACATAAATTTGGTGGAGCCGTTCATAAGATTTTGCATCCACCTTCTTGGAGCCTCCC